GTAGAGCTTGACGAGCTCTATCGTATCATGTAAAAATATCAAAGAAATGACTTCCTGAATTACTCGCACCTTGCATTTGTTGATGTGTTCCTAAAAAATGATCTCAATCTCCATACTTTTAACGTTGAAAGACATTTTAATTGGTATCTCAGACCGTTTTCGACGACGTTCCGTCTAACTAGACTACAAAAATAAAATAAAAAATTTTTTTCCACAAAAGTGGTAGAAACTCCACGGATTTACCCATAAATCACTTTCAGACTCGATTCCATCATTAAGATCAAATCAACAACCAGCATTATCATTACCTGTCAAAAAACGTTCACATGAACCTCCACCATTACCAGTACTAATGATTCCAAAACGTGTTCAACGTACACAATCATCAAAATCATTTCAAGTGAAAAAAAATTATCAACATCATCATTATCATAATCCAGCACAATTAAGAGCTCAACAAAAACGAACAGTAAATAAAGATAGATCATCATCATCATCATCAGAAAACCAAGGAGAAGAAGTCGAACACCAATTATTACTAATATTACTAATGCAGATTTAGTTGTATGTACATGGAGCAAAGAAAAAATGCAAAGAATGTTTTATAAATTTCAATTTCCTTTTACGATTTTCACTCTTATTATATATTAATAGTATATTCTAAATATTGTTTTTATTTCAGATAGTAGTTCTGAATACCGTTATTGTTATACCGATAATGGGAAATAAACTAGACAAAATAGAACCTGGTACTGGCCGCAAGATTTGTCCAGAAGAATTTGGTGTTGAAAACAAAATTGGTTTAGCATATTGTGTTCTACATCATGCTCCAAGTGATATTACATCAGATGAGGTGGAAAAATACTCACATCATGGATTGGCAATAGATATAAATGGTAGTCAAAAGAATTTATAAATGTCTCTATCTCATCCTATCTTTGATCATCATAGGTTTATCGAATGACGAGATGTTTCGTGCTGCTCATTTCGATTTATACGTGCGTGGACCAACAGATTACTCAACGTATGTTGAATATAACTATAAAGAACGAAAGTGGACCGACTATGCTCTTGTACAACCAATCGGGCGAATACCTTCATCGGTAATTCAACAGTATGGTATGCCGCATTATTACGCCGAATACGTTGAGTGGATTTTAACTTATCAAGTTCATCGTCCAATGGCAATGATCCGGAATAGTACAACATGGTCGAGTGATTTGAACTGTCAAAACTTCAACAAAGCTGCTATTACTCATTTAGGACTGAATTATCCACCAGATGTTACAGTTTTTACTGATTGCTTTCCAACTTTTTTTTAATACCCATGTTTCTGCTAGCCTAACAAATGCACATACCACAGAAACAACAACATAGGGAACAGCGAAATTTATATGATCCTCATGTTTTTATGAAACTCAGAAGAAAAATGAAACAAATAAATTACTCTAAAGTTTTGTAACATCTGTCTGCTGTAGATCTCCATTATTCTCATAAGATAACATCAACACTTCGAAAGATGTTTGTCCACGAACTGTTAGTAGCAAATGTTGAATTTCAACCAGTTATATGGTGAAGACATCAATCAAAAAGATGAAGCGACCAATTACCAATGAAACAAAATTTGTGATAGAAATGGAAGAAATAAAAAGATAGTATGAATAAAACCAATTCTTAGTCAATCAAAATCAATGACAAGATGTTAATTTATACTTTTTTTCATTCGAGTGATATGTTGTATAAATTATTAAAATGACATAGTCGATTTCGATAACATAAGACAAAAGATAAATATGAAATTGATAAAATGACCATGACAATAGTATGAGAAGTAATTGAAGATTTTCATTGATTTATTTCTATTTTAGACGATTGAATTACGAGAAACCATGTTAAATGAAATGCGAACATTATTAGAAGGATTACTTCAACGTGATGTCGATAAATGACTTGGTTGTACGGGTAGATTGTAAATTATCTATTTGATTAATGATTTATTTCAGAATTGTGAATTTGTTTTTTTTTCTAGAGCTGAAGAAGTCATAGAACATCCATAGTTTAAGAACGTCGAGTGAAAACAAGACTATTTATTGAAATTAACTTCACCATGAATTCTACTACGTGATGAAGTGAATGCAGCTGATGCTTTTGATATTGGAAATTTTAATGAAGATGATACAAAAGAAATTAAAGTAAATAAAAATATTCGAACGAAACAAAAGCAAAATTTATTTTTATTTAATTAGTTAACAGAAGCTGATCAAGAATTGTACAAAAATTTTCCAATTGTTATTTCTGAACGATGATAACAAGAAATAACTGGTAGAAATCAATGAGATATTTGTTTATTTTGAATCGCATGAAAATATATCTTTTGCTCTAGAAAAAGTATTTGATATAGTTAATCAAGAAACAGATAAAATTGAATAGAAACGACGAACCAAATTCAAACAAAATACTATTTATGATGATGAAAAAAACATCTGATTTGATTTTATAAGGACAATTGAAAAAGAATACAGGAACATTTGGATTTTCATGGCAAATACGTTATACGAAATTGTATCCAAATCGACTTGAACTACATTATGAAAAGGGTGATAAAGATCCAGAGGTAAATTATGACAATAATAAAACACTTTTCTTCTTCATAAGTTAATCGTTTCGATAATTAAATAGAAGCTACAGAAACTGTTTCATAGTATAAGAAGTAGAACTAATCTTTTTTATGTATTTATGAGATGGAACCAGACATCAAAAGATCCCTTTTGTTGAACATAAGAAACTGCAAAACAGCAATATGTAACAACCTATAAATAGAGACACGTGTGATTATTATTGCCCGGATACAATTCAAAGTGTTTTTTTATATATCCCATGATTAGGTGGAGGAAAAGGCTGATCTTCATGCATACTTGCTATGTTATACCTTCGCGAATTCTCTTTTGTCCAAATATATATCTGATCTGTTTTTAAAATATGTATCATTTCTATCAGAAAATCTAATGAAAAAAACAATATAAGTAGAATCGATAGCAGAAATGAACGTATCGATCGTCTTTGTATAACTATTTTTTCGATTAGTATATTCAAATCCAATAAAATTTTCAACTTACTGAAGTATGTCTTTTTTCTTTCGGTACAGTCCAATCGGCTGATCATGTGATCAGAATATAAGAATCTCACTAGGAAATTTTTCAACTCGTATCATTATCATGGAAACTATGGAAAGTTCTAACGATAATACCAACAAGACGATGATAGCAGGTCGAAACTAGTAATCTATTTTATGCAAATAAACAATACCAAACAGATGTTATTGCATTGCACAGAAAAGTTTCCGAATAAATCAACACACTCAATATTGTTTCTCATAGCACATTGAAAAAAGATTTCCCAATTCTAGATTTCATTTATCTAACTACGTTCAGAATAAGTATTAATTGATGAGTGATAAATGAAATTTAATAGTATCATTCTGCAGAAGGTGTAGGCAATAGATCAGTTAATTCAATCATTTTTCACTTTGCTTATGATTCTTTTGAAATGTTCAGTTCGTCTTATTAAATGTTTTCAAAGTAGACACATGAATCATGTCGGTCGATAATAGTAAACGGTGGAATGAACTTGGTAAAGTTATGAAGCATGTCTTGAAGGCATACCTTTTCTTGTTAAATTTTGTTCGTGTTTTTGCTAGCTGCATCTAAGCGATTATGTGCCGTTGTGATGTACTCTTTCATAACGAAGAAATAAAAAAGAAAAAGAGCGTAAAACATGTCCACATGAGTCCGGAATGAAAAGAAAACAGAGGTAGATTTTAAGTTTTTTGCTCCATCGTGTTTTAATAAAAAAAAAAAAAGAGTGAGAGAGTAAAAGATGGCCGAAAATGAAGTAACAAATTATCGCGTATATCGTATACGATGGATTCAATTGTTGATCTATGTTTTGCCGATTCTTGCAAATGCTACACATAGTATGACATTTGTTCCGATTGAATCACAAACATCAATATTTTTTGGTATAACAATAACACAAGTGAATGCTTTAGCTATTGTATTTCAATTTCTTTATGCCATTAATATAATATTATCAATATGGGTATATAGATTTTTATCAATGCGTGTGGAAATGATAGTAGGAAGTATTTTAAATTTAGGTGTTTTCATTCGTCTTCTATCATTGATTTCTCCAACAAGTGGATATCCAGCTTTGATTATTGGTCTAATATTACCAGCAATTGCACAATCAGTCTTTTTGAATATAACAGCATTATTTGCTGCTCAGTAGTTTGCATCGAAACAACGTGATATCGCTTCAGATATTTGTTCAATGCCTAATACATTAGGTAGAATTTAAAATGAAGAAAAAAAAAATTAATTTAATATAAATTGTAGGTTTAGCTATTGGTTCTCTTTTCCCATCATTGATTGTCACAGATGGTTCTTCATCTAATGAATTTTTTATTCTTTTAATGGTCGAAGCTTGGTTTACTGGATTAACAACATTATTAATTATTTTTATACTTCGATCAGAATCACCATCACCACCTTCACCTTCAGAAGAACATCATCTACCAATTACTATCAAAAAAGATCTTCGTAGTCTACTTACTAATCGTCATTATTTAATTCTTCGATTTGGTTTTTCTCTTGGTTTAGCTCTTTTCAATGCAGTAACAACATTAATCTATGAATTAATTCAACCAAATGGATATTCAAGCAATGATGCAGGAATATTTAGTGCAATAATTATCATTGCTGGTCTCCTTAATGCTTTTGTAGTAGGTATCGTCATAGATCGAACACATGCTTATCGTCTTATATTGAAAATTTTATTAGTAGGTGCTTGTTTATTAGGTATCTATTTTATTTTGTTTCTTCAACCAAATAAACTCTATCCATTGGTTGTTTCGTTTAAATGTGCTGTTGAGTGTACATATCCGATTCGTGTTGAATGGTCAACTGGTTTACTAATGTGTACTGACAATGTTCTTAGTGATATATTTACCTTTGTTCTCGGCGATCTTATTAAATTAACTCCTCTTTCAAACTCTGGTATTATCATTACACCTGCTTCTATATTTATTCTTTGTTGTTGTGTGATTGGTACTCTGGTATTATTGATTTATAAAGGATCCTATTTACGACTTGAAGCTGAACGTCAAGTTGCCACTACATCTTCTATTGAACTTAATTTTTAATAAATGTTCTTGTAATAAAAAGATATGACATATTTTAATAGTCATTTTATTATTACCGAAGATTTAGAGATTTCAATATCCGAGCAGATGAACAATATATAAAATGAATACTGGTGATAGATTAGGAATTAATATCATATGAAAATATCAATAATTATTCATATATATTGTTTAAAAGAAAATAGAACAATAATCATTCAACTATTTGAAAATGTTCAAAGAATAAAATTAAAATCATATTCTTCGAATTATTAGTGATATCAAATGTTTGAATATAGTGCTATCAAAAAAAATAATTAATCGGCGATTTCGATCACATTGATCGTCTTTACATAAGTTTTATACTGTGAATATGGTATAATCTGTTGTTATAGTATGATATCATCTTTTCATTTAGAAAATTCTTTCTTACGTCGATGAGTAATGTATGAAGATGTTTTAATAAATTGAACATTTCTTCTTTTTCTTTATTTTCGTTCACTTGATTTCTCTTTTTCTTAAATCTGAACATTTTTTCAACTAACACGAAAGTTAGAAATCATTTTCCTATCTTCCAATCATTTTTGTGAGTCAGCACTTTGTTTTGGTTATTTCTGAAATTCTTATTAGTGTCGAGATAAACATATGTAATATTACAATTGGTCCTTACAACTATACAATAAAAACATGCATGTTAACTATACAAGTGAATTCTGAAATAGCACCTTATACACTTGATTATATTCGTATGATTTTACCTAATGTATCGCCTGAATTAATGCCTGCATTGATCAAAAAATATGAAGAAGAACAAGTATTTTCATGTATTTTAATAAACGATTTCATTCATGGAACAATGTGGCCATTATTAAAACGTGCATCATTGGTGTTATGAGATGATATTACAACAACATTCATATGCCAAAGTCCACTTTTTCAATTAACCATACGATTAAGTGATGCCGGTTCCTATTTGTTTAGTGAAACCGCTACTAATTTTATAGTGATGACCTCTCATCCTATTCGTGTCAATGGTGTGGTGAAGATGATAGTGAATCGAGTGGGTTATGGCTAAGAATGTGTTGTATCATCTAATGTCCGTGCAACTAACACGAATGTAATATTGGCATCATCTGAAAGAAATAAAATGTTAATGAATTAAAGAACTATTTTTTTTTCAGAAGTGAATGCACTGATTAATATCACGGCTATACAGAAATTATTACAAACGTGTGATTATTGTACACTTTTTCTTTGAATGTATTGAATCAAAATATTTGGCAAGTGAAATACAAAAGTTAGTTTTGCCTTAAAGTCGTCCTAAGTAGAGTCTTTCAGGACACAAGTAACCTGCAATAGAAAATATATTGCCAACATGCTTAGAAGATTCCAAGAATAAGAGAAGAGGTGTTGAATCAGATCAAATCATTTATACATATTACAAATGTAAACAGTGATGATCTTGTTGTTTATCTCTCAGTCTCAAGTTAGAATGTCATCAACTGCCTTCGAGTGTATCTAATGTTAATGCGTCTGTATTCAGAAGGTTCTATAGTTTACTATCAGAACGCGAAAAGAATGATAAAAGTTCAATTCGGTTCGGTTCGATTCGACCTGCATATTGGTCAATTCGAATGGATTCAATTCGCTTTTTTACAGTCTTTATTCGAATCGATTCGACTCGAAAACGAAAGGATACTATTCGACTCGATTCGATTCGACTATGATGACATTCAATTCGTAATCGATTCGATTCGGCTGAGTCGAATCGAATCGAATCGAATGATTCGCCAATTCGATTCGTTTTCGAGCTCTGTTTACTATCATCTGTGGTTGTTTAAGGTTGTCACATCCGTAGATATCAGTCCGCATACGGACGCTGTCCTTCCAAATATAAAAACCTGATATTCAATTTGCATGTTAAAAAACTATTGTCTCCACTGTTACTGTGTTTTGATCAAAGTGATCTTTTCCTGTAAAATGAGCTCATGTCGGGATATCACACTAAAAATGAGCCACTACGCAGTCGAATGTTGTTCACAAAGTTTCTTTCAAAAAGCCTTTGACTTTCTCAAAAGTATGCCTCAAATCTTGATGGGCATTACCTATTCTAAGAACAATTTAGATTCTATTAGTCGATTTATTAGGGTTATGTTATACTTCTTTGTTAGTGTATCTAAAAGCTACGTATAACTGCAAAAGCAAGATAAAAGTGCAAAGAAAATATATGGATAAATAAGTGTTAAAAGTTTTAATCGAATGGATAAATAATCAATGAAGTTGACAAATCTTATTTTTCTCCGATGCATTCCTAGCTTGTACCCAACATTGGACAGTTTCCTTTCCATCTTTAAACCAAGGTGTGGGTGTGGGTGGGTATCTGTGCGGGCTCATTCTCAAAAGAGATACTTTTTAATACTACTCTTGTGTATTTTGTTAATTACAGCTACCTAATCAATTCTATGACTACTTAATGAATTTCTATAACTACTTAATGATTTTCTATAGCTACTAAATGAATTCCTACAGCTACTTAATGATTTCTTATGGCTACCTATGATTCTACAGCTACTTAATGATTTCTTATGGCTACCTAATGATGGGGCGGTTGAGGTGGAGAGAATTCAAATATTCAAAATTTGAATATCTATTGGGTTCCCAATAATATTCGAATATTCATAAAAAAGTTTTTTTAATGACATAGTTTGAGCAGGGAGACGGTTGAAATGAAGAAAATCAAATATTCATAATTTTAATTTTAATTCGGTTTATGAAGTAAACTCCGAATATTGATAATGTTAATCTCTATTGGGTTCCCAAAAATATTCGAATACTCATATTATTTTTGTAAATGATATAATCTGAACAGTGAGGCGGTTGAATGAAGAGAATTCAAATATTCATAATTTTAATTTTAATTTGGTTTTTGATGAAAAATCCAAATATTAAAAATTTGAATAGCTATTGGATTCGTTAAAATATTCGAATATTCATAAAATGAATCTTTTTAATGATATAGTTTGAGTAGGGAGATGGTTGAAGGAAAAAATTCAAATATTTATGATTTGACTTCGTGTTAATGATTAAGTTTCATCATTAGGTTTCTAAAAGAACTCAAATAAAAAACTTCAGTATTCACAATTTGAATTCCCATTGGGTTCATAAAAATATTCATGAATTGAATTATTTTTTAATAGTTTAATTAGAGCAAGAGGTTCGTCAAAAGAATCTAAATATTAATAGCTTCAATGTCTATTTGATTTGTAGAAAAATATTGATTTCTTTAATGTAAATCAGTGAAGCATTTTATGAAATAAAAATTCATATATTCGTAATTGGAATCCGTATTTGGTTTGCAATAAAGAATTCAAATATTTATAATTTTGTTTGCTACTTGGTTTAAAAAAAATTCGAAAAATGATGACTTTTATGGCATATTGGTTTTTCAAAATATTTCATTTATTCTTCTTCATAATATTATGAGCCATTCAGATATAGATTCTTTGTGAGATTATGAGAGGTATTTTATCTATGCATAGTAGCGAGAAAAGAAAGAGAGCACAATGTTGAGTTGTGAGCCACAGACAAAAAATGCAAGTAGCTTAGAGATCTATTAGCTAGTCAAATAATCGTCAGTATAAAGCTTTTCAATATTTAAGAACTCATATTTATAGCCATGAAAAGGTTATAATAGCTATAAATAATGAAGCAAATATTTCATATCGTTTAAATGGCAATTAGTTTATAAATAGCAATGGTTTTTATAATCATTCACGAGATTTTTAACCGCTGTAGTATGTTAAAATGACTGCGGAGTCTTTTAATCGTCATCCAAACTCCAAATACGTACACCAACTTAAAATAAACGTGGAATGTCTTAATAATCAAAGCAAAACTTGAAGTAGTTGTAGAATGATTAGGTACCTACAGGAAACCATAAAGTGGGTATAGAAAATCATTAAGTAGCTGTAGAAAACCATTAAGTAGCTATTGGAATTCATTAAGTAGCTGTTAGCTTATTTTCAAAAGTATCTCTTTTGAGAAGCTACGTATTGGACTTTTCTTATACCAACTAATTCAAAACCGCATATGATTATTTTTTATTATTGAAAGAAGAAATTCATAGATTCAGGATGATATTGGGGAAAATGTGATTCAAATCTCTCCTATCAAGGCGAAACTGCTCCTCGATTTGCTACTATTCATAATCGGACGTACATAGTTAGACCATTTCTTGATGGTAAACATGTCGACAAAATGCTCGACGATGTTGAAAAATTGAATTCAGAATATCTTTATCTAACTTGCTTTTGAGTCTTGATTGTGATAAAACATTCGATTGTCTTATCGAGCATCTACTTGGAAAGTCAATTAAAATCAACAAAAAAAATTTGACAAACGGATTCGCTAGAAATTTAACAATATTACAACTTGTCGTTTATAACAACAATCTCACAGTAACTCGTCGGCTGCTTGCATATGTGAATAATGAAGTAAAGAAGACGAGCACAGGTGAGAATTGAGTTTATTTTGTCGTACGATAAAGCAATCTAATTTTACTCGAATATCTGATGTATGGAGCTGAATAGAGTCAACAGGGAAACAATCAACTATGATCATGATACCTACGATAGGGGCTCATTCGATTGAACGAAATGACATAATTACTTATTTAATTTGAAAATATTCTTCGGTTGAGATCGATAACGATGGTTCAAAGGAAAATGATGAGCAGTAATCTCGTCATTGAACTCATATCAGCATTATAATCAGAACAATCATTTCTTCACTTCTGTCTTTCTAAGATGTAGACACATGGTAAACAATAGAAAAGATGGTTTTGAATACACCGACTGATATGAGATGAATAGAGATATTTCTATGAAAACAAAATTCCCAAGAGTGTACTCAAGCAGACAGTTATGACAGGTTTGACATTGGCATTGCTGTCTTCCTGAGTACAGAAGACAGCGAGTTTTTTTTCTTCGATGATTAAATTCCATCTTCATATTTTTCTTTCACAGTTTGTAAATTCATTTTCCGATTTTCTGTTATTTTACTCATAATTTGTGCTGAAATAGAAACATCCACGACAAAAATTCAAATATAAGCAAACTCGAACGAAGAACAGTTTTTACAATGATGCTGCACTAGAAAAAATCTACTTTTTCACCAAAGTAAGATCACTTTCCGCGTGACCAAGACCAATAAATAGAGGAGTCTATGGGCTTTTTTATTTCAAACTGAATTCTAAAATCAAAAAAACCCCACCAATTTCTTCCGAATCAAACTTTTCTCGCTTGATACTACGTAGTCTCACTAAAAACCCTTAGTCTCCCCTAGTCCTGCAAAGTCCCCCTTAGTCCCCCCCACAAAAAGCTTAGTCCCCGCTTAGTCCCCTGTGCAGGGGACTAAAGCCTATAGTACACAAAACCACAAGCACACCCTCACCCTCACTCGCGCGCCCACACCCGCACCATGGGTGTGGGTGTGTGTGTGGGTCCCAGACCAACACCCACACCCTCAGTCACCCCCCCCCTCACTTCTAGACTCACGTTTCAGTTTGAAATCAAGTATTATTTTTATTTGATAAATTCAGACTGAAATTAAATAGCCCATAGTATGAAATAGAGTAGCAAACAAAACAACGCTTCAATACAGAAAAGAACGAGATGGGTGATGGTTTCTTTTAGCATTCGAAAATTTGCCATGATAGATCATGTTCAACACAGTATTATTGAAACTGTCTCTTGTGCTTTCCATTGAATACAAATGTTAGTGGAGCCTCAGTGTTGGTTCCCATTCGATTGAACAATTGACGTTTGAAATTGACATAAAAATAATCTTGATCAGAATAGCAAGTCAACTCGGTACTGAGTTCAAAATGTCGTCGTATCGACAGATCTACATCTGGATAGACAGCTGCCTCTTCGTCATTTTTCATAGGTACATCGTCGATTGAGGAATACCCATACATATCAAATACATAGACCTGTCGTGCTAGAGCGGTCCATCGCACATCAGCAGGATTCAAACGTGAACAGGTGAAGTTTCGAGCGAGGAGAGCCGATATGAAACGACCATTCGGTAGAAGATCGTAGGAGATTTGTTCATTAATCACTGTCCTGTCGAAATATGTATCATACTTTCGAGTTGCTAGTGTTTTGCTTCTCGAGAAAACCTCTTCAAGGACATCATCAGCTGGAATCTGTTGTTGTGTGAATAATGGTGGTGGCGGCGCTGATGGCAATAAAGGAATAATAGGCAAGTCAATAAATGTTGCCGATGGGTTAAGGTAAACTGAAGTGTTCATCGAAAATGGAGATGGCCAAAAAGCAGGGAACATGGCGTTGGAAATAGCGACACGAATACGGTGACCCGGCAAGAAAGTCCATGTAGTAAAGTGAAGCTGCAGTTTGATTTGATATAGATGATTCGGTTCAAGATAAGCCGGAGGTATTTCTCGCTGAGCTCCATTAATGGCAGTACCAGTTACTAGCCATACTTGACCATCGATGTCGATGTCTTCGAGACGCACAATCCAGTGAGCCAAAGTAGCGGTAGCACTCACCTGCAGTTATACAAACAATAGATGAAGGATAGTCTGTATTATGTGTATCTAGATGAATATTTAGATCTCCCACATTTTTTGAGACGCTTATTTACATGGGCATTATCGTAACTGTAGCCTATCACAAATGTTTTGCTCGCGTCTTCTTAGACTAGCAGCTCATTGATAAATCATATCAACAAAGTGCCTCTTCAAGCCAACAGTGTTTTAGTTTTCATCAGACGAAGCTTTTATAAGTACTCGATCAATTCTAAATGATATCATCGTGCTTTACCTGAAGAGATACGTCGACAAATCCAGCTATTTCTATGGTTTCATTGACTAGATTGCTATCATAAGTTAGGCAATGTTCATCGAACGGGCGTTGATCCCTCAGTGAGGAACCCCACCAGTCTTCGGCTTCAAATCCAATCCACGGTCGATACTCAAGAGTATCGACATCAATAGTGCCTTCCTTCTTTTCTTTAGCTTGTTCAACTAGTCTTTGTCCGCTGCACATGAACAGTCGACGTATTTGTCGCCGAGTAATAGGCCATTGAGGTTCGTATCGATAGTTGCCAGTAGTGAGACTCGTTCGCATAAATAGAGTGATATCCGGTTCATCTCTTATGTCTTTGTTCTGATCGTCATCTTTAAGCCAATAACTGAACCATCGAACCATCTCAGCTTTGCCATCGTAACCTGGACCAGGATTGCGATCAGAATATTCCGGCATGGCATGACCAAACGGACCAATGACAACTTTAATCTTAGATGATGAACCACGAGCATTTTCATAAATATTTATTGCAAAATCTTTATAGCTAGATTGTTAAGTGAACAAAACATTTATTTATTCCTCGCGAAACGCGTCAAACTCACCTATCATAAAGTCCGGCTAGTAGATAAGCAGGTACAGTGAAATTATCAAAGGCATACTTGATCGAATGTTCCCTCCAAAATGGACCGTCGAGTTGATGTTCAAGATAGATATCAATCCAAGGTCTCCTTGTGAAACGTTCCTTGATCCATTGTTCATCCATGATATAATCAGGTGTGGCAGGTAAGGCATTTTCATGGTCGACAGAGAGTATGTACTCGTCCTGGTGGAGAATTCCATCCATGAAATGAATATCATTTTTGTACAAATCTTCTGAACCATGTGCTGCAAAGATAGCTCGAAGAGCAGGTGGTCGTCGCAAAGTGGCCATCATGAGAGAGTTGAATGCTGACCAACTCAAACCATACATCCCTACACGACCATTCGAGTGAGAATGAGCAGCAAGTTGTTCAATAATACGTTCACAATCGTCTAATTCTTGCGGTGTGTATTCGCGCTCGATAAGAATGCCCTCAGATGAACCCGTACCACGAATATCTACTTTGGCTATCTATGAACAAAAAACTTCAATAGAATGATTTTATTTGTTATTAGCTCTCTCACAATGAAACCTCGTCGTGCTAAATAGTAAATATTTGGTTGATTGTAATTATAGAGGCTGTCATCTTTTCTGTATGGTTTATATTCAAGTAAAACGGGAAATTTCTCATCAATCTGTTTTGGAATAGGTATAGTGAGCGTAGCAGACAATTGAACACCATCAGGCATTGGGAGCCATATATCTTCAGTCGTAAACGAATACATATGAGATATTGCAGTAATTGATTGTAGTGATCGATAGTATACGAATAGAACTAGAAGCAGTTGAATAGAGCAAAGCATTTAATCGTTGATTACAAGAGTAAAAAATGATTGTGCTTTCGCTTCTCTTCAAAGCTGCTAGAATAATGTGCTCTCTTATTTCGTCGATCGAATAGATAAGCTCTTGGAAGGTTATGTAGGCTTTACAAAGCAAATATGGTAGGAATATAGATTCAGTTATCAACATATAAAGAAATATTTTTTCCTGCAAAATCAATCAAAAAAAAGTTCGTTAGCTAATCTCTTTTTACACAAATACAGAAAAAACAACTTTTCATTTTCTGATTGTTAGCTGTGATTCACACTTAGCCTACCCTCGATTTTCTTTCTCTTTCTCTCGCGCTTCGTCTTTCTACTGTATTCCCATGTGTTCGATTGCGGTCAAATTGCGATGCAGTTGCGGCGCAACTGCGTCGCAATTGCTAAAAGAGGTGCCATAGATGACGTTTCACTTTATTAATATTTTTATTAGGAATTACAAAAAATTAAAAAATTAGAAAAATAAAAAACAACTACTAATAAAAAAATTTTTAAAAAGTTAAAAAAATAGAAAAATTTAAAAAAATAAAAATCGAGAAAATAAAAAATAGAAATTTAAAATAAAAAAATATGTAATAGGTCACGTCTCAAGCATACGAGCACGTTTTTTTCTTTTTCTATTACTAAGACACTTCATTTAGTCTCTCGAATTATCAAGGTAAGCATCATGAATACTTTAATAAAGTAGTTAAAGTAGAGATTTTTTCACAAAAGAAGAGCGTTTCTAAGAAAAGAACGATTGTTTATAAAGTATGATCAAAGGTTTCAGGGGTCGAGGAATCCGAATTTGAAATCGGTTTTTCGACATTTTGAGTTCGATTTTTCACAAAATTATTTTTTCTTAAAAAAAAACGACTTTTTTAACAAAAAAAACTTTTTTTTACGAAAAAAATTGATTTTCTGAAAAAAATATTTACGAAAACACTGATTTTCCCACAAAAAATTGTATGATAAAAAAAATAATTTTTCTGAGAAAAAATTTATTTTAGATCACTTTTTTGTAAAAACATGACTTTTTAGCAACAAAAATTTTTTACGAAAAAACTGACTTTCCTACAAAAAAAAATCGTTTGATGAAAAAAATAGTTTTTTTTTCTAAAAATTTTTTTACCAGAAAAAATATTTTTGCAAATTACTTTTTTCGTAAACATTTTTGTTAAAAAAAATTTTTTACGAAAAAAGTTTTTCTGAAAAAAAGGAACTCAAAATTTCGAGAAACCGGTTTCAGATTTGGATTCCTCGACCCCGAAAACCTTTGATCAAACTTTATAAAAAATCGTTTTTTTGTTAAAAAAGTTCTTCTTTTGGTAAAAAGTCTCTACTTTAACTTTGAAAATTCCATGATGCTTACCTTGATAATTTGAGAGACTAAATGGAAGTATCTTGCTAATAGAAAAGGAAAGAAATGAGCTCGTATGCTTGAGATGTGTCCTTTTATACCCCATTCAGCCATTATTGTCATTGTTTAAAAACCATCGAATCGGAAAATTAAGATATTTATTTATCATTGGCTATTTTTTCAGCAACTGTAAGAACAGTGAATAGTCTAGCAGGTACTGCGATCACTGCGTCGCAGATGCGAACGCAAATGCGTCGCAGTGAACGCAGTCTATTTCTTTAATCTCAGCTGCGACCAGTGCGTCGCAGTTACGCGCAGCTGCGATAAAAATTTCGCAGTTACGCGCAACTGCGACGCATTGATCGCAGTGCGCGTAACTGCGACGCAGTTGGTAAAAAAGAGGCGACATGGGTTATTATTATTATTGTTGTTTCTCCTTCTTTCTCTCATGTTCTTCTTCTGCTCTCTATGGATGTATATGTACCTAGTGATTTAAGGACATTTTTGAAGAGATTTAACATATGAGATAAATAAACAAAGTTAAGCTCGTCGAAGCGAGCTAACACTGATGTAAGAAAAAACATGTAACTACAGTATATCAAACAATCTTGTGTAGACATCTGTTAAATCTTTGATTGATCGATCTTTCAGGAAAACTATCTTCACGTTGATAAATGGACCTTAACCAACAAATAAAGACATACCTTTAACATAAATCAGACGAAACATTGATTCGAATAGAAGAGAATATGAACGGAGAAAATATTTTAGATGATTATTTCTTCCACAATAAACAGTTCTCTTGACATCTTTTTCATTTCGAATGGACTAAATAATGAAAATGAGTCATATCTGATCATCCATGTGAAAACTGAATGATTTTTGCCGTTACTGGTTAATATTAAGTACTAATTTGTGCCTTTTTCTACAATTAATATTAATCAATCTTTGTCAAAATTATCATAAAAACTGCTGTTAAATCATGTTGACAAGATGATTGCACATAATATTGTCTTATATATTAACACCCCTGCGCAAAAGTCTATCTTCTCCCCTTTTTTTTAAAACTTAATATTTGTTTTCTTTTATTATCGAACAAAAGTATAAGAAAGGCATTTTATTTTAGGATGGTATATTGTTACACTGAAAAAAATGGTACTATACAGAACCAAAAAAGGTACTTTGAACGAAAAAAAGGTTTCGTACATAGTACGGAACCTAAAAAGGTTTCGAATTCGTCGCAATTCTCTGAACCTTTTTAGGTTCGATATAGACCACTACAAAAAACTTGAAAAAGTGTCCTGAGTCAATGACAATCAATTTTAGTCACCCAAAGTTTTGTACGAAACCTTTTGAGGGTGTGGGTATGGATCGGTGTGGGTGTGGATATGAATATACAAAAGAATTCACACCCACACCCTCCGAAGTGAGCTAGTTTTTTTATTGATTTGAATCAATAACTTCAAGTCTTCATTAAATGGTAATGCTTTTACTTTAAATGTAAATTTTCATGTATTTTATTCATCATTCTGCTTGTCAGTGGTCGAGCATGGGTCATGCTTGATTGAAAATTTGCTGTTTTCTTCGTCAATGAATCTATCAACTCCTATCTTTACATTTATATTCTCACGTTCTTGTTTTTGTTCTTGATACTCATTTATTATTTTCACGACAAAATCGATCAAGTTTTCTTATAGAAAAAAAATACCTGAAGAGTCAGTGGGCAACAATTAAGTTGAAAACTGTGTCTACTTGTGAATGCTATTTTTTTTTATTTCTTCGTTTTCTTATGCATTCGAAACAAACTGGTTAATTATCTTCCGCATTGTAGCTTTCATTATTTTTCTTTGCATTAATATACGTCACTACTGTGTTCCTCTTCTGATCTTTTTCACTTGCTATAACACATATCACTTCCGCGCATTGCTCGATGCACAATATCGTGTCGGCAAAGTCGTGATGATGTATAATAACCAAAACTATCCTTCCTTTCGTATATCTGGTATTATACTTGGTTGTTTAGTACAGTTATTTACTGCTGCATTATTTTCAATAGAGCTCGGGCGTCTTTACTCAGGTTCAAATAATCGTAGGCGAAATGATTCCAATGAAACATTTCAAAATTCCATATATTCCGATACAATAATTGGTTTTAATGGAAATATTATAAATCCTAAACTAGAGAATCGTTGGATGTGGTCGTGGTCAACAGCTACGTTATTATTTAGTTTGATATTTTTTACGACATCTGTGATAGGTATCATAAGTAGTCAAAGGTAAAGCTATTCATCTATTTTAACATTTTTTATTTGTTCACTATTATCAATATGCTTATTAATATTTTTACTAGCAACATATTCAACAATAATTGCAGGTTGGAAGAGTATTTATGGAACAAGTGAAGAAGATTCGATATCAAGTTTTGTGCGCATTGACGAGAATTTATCAATTGCTTCTGTAGCAGTTTCATGTGGATTGTTTATTATCTTATTAGGAAGTCTCATTTCGGCTGGTAGAACTATTAATGCTTGTACACAAAAACATATTGCCAGAGTGATCAATGCATATGAATGCATATTGGAATAGAGTACATCAAATATGGTACTTTGAACATCTCATATAATATTATGTATATCTCTTCTTGATTATTTTAATTATATATAATTTTAATAAAGAACTAAAGATATAGTATACCTTTTTTATATTTATTTTTCATTGATAACAAATATAATTAGTCAAGCTTATCTATTATATTGATAGCTCGATAATGTGGATATATTTTTTGAACTTCAATGGTATAGCTATATCAAGTAAACATTCCATCAAAATGCTTTTGAAATAAGGGAAATCTATTTCCTTTTCATGAAAACTTGTGTTGTTTAGATATATTTAACTGTCGATAGGAACGAACAAATGTTCAATAAACTTTATAAAAGCATATCTTTTATAATTCATCAAACAATTAAAACTAATAAACGTCATTTATATGAAAAACAATGAGGGAAAAAACTTTTATGAAGTCAATACTTATTACATATGCCTGTTATACAGCTAAAATCTCGACATCTGGGACATTAAAAATAAAAATGTCGAACATAAGTAATGAATAGTAATGTTTTTATAAATACCAAATAAGCGCGTATAACTAACGAAATTGTTTTTTCTTTAAGATGAATCTAATGGATGAAGAACGAATTCGATGTAATGAATGTTTGAAAAAATTATATCAAACAAAGCTAATGTGTATTCAATCGATTCAATATCTTATTGAACAACAACGTGAAATTGATGAATGTATTGCTGATCTAAAATTAACTAAACTAAATGCACAAGCCATAAATGAAAAAATCTCGACATTAAATCAAGTATATTGGTTTAAAATATGCTGTTTTAATAAAAAAAGACATTTATTAGAAACGAATTCAAATGATTCAAGTCATTTATTGATTTTACCATTTCCAAACGAACAATCAAATATAAATGAATATGCATATGGTTTACGCGAATTAGAAAAAGATTTTGAATTTGAAAAATTATTGAAATCAATAAATAATTCTTATCCACA